CCTGGGCCGCCGTTCGCCGCCACGCCCTCATCGAGCTCGGACTCCAGCTGCGGGGGCGTGTCAGTCCCACGATGGGCCTCGACCAGCGCCAAGACAGATTTTCCCACACAAGCGAACGAAGCGCCTGATGTGACTCGCCGTCTGCTGCTTGCCCCGCCTCCGGCAGACACATCCTGCTCTCCTAGTGGACAACAGGAGAGCACCAGCACCACGACTGGATGGTTGTAGAAGTGCTCTGTGAGAAACATGTTGGCCTGCGGGCAACGCTCTGTAATGTTCGCGGAGAAAGCACCGCACCCCGTTGCGGGCGCCACCTGGCGAAGGGGGAAGGGCGCCAGGAAGGTCAGAGCCAACAGCAGCCGCTGGAACATCATCACACATATATATATATATATGCATACATACATACATACATACATACATACATACATACATACCTACATACATACCTACATACATCAATACATACATACGTACATACATACATACATACATACATACATACATACATACATACATGCATACATACATACATACATACATACATACATACATACATACACACACATGTGGAGCATCTGGAGCGTTCATCCGCTACCCAGGGATCCTTCGGTCAGACCCAAGGCTGACGTGTCTTCGGGAAGCCGACGCCAGTACCAAAGCCCGATTCTGACAGCAGTGACAGAGGGTACATCCGCCATTCTTTCCACCCGTGGAACCTCGCAACAGAGCTGCTACGTGACGATACAACACTCCAGCTAGAGTTCAAAGGAAGCGTCGGCCCTCGCTGGCGAGTCGATCTAGACCTGGCGGCAGACTAGGCCGATCTTGTGGAAGCAGCGGCACAACGGCACCCACTGAGTCATGAGGCACCCTCGGCACATGGAGCCAAAGCGGCTCAGGCGAGCGAGGAAGGAGAGGGGCGATGCGAGGGAGGAGGCGGCGGGAAGGGAGCTGGAGAAGATGGGCAATGGAGGAGGCGGCGGAAAGGGAGTTGGAGAAGATGGACAAGCAGGACGAGGTGGAACAGGGGGGGGACGAGGGCGACGAGGAGCCCCGAGCTGGGGCAGCCGCTCCTCTGCTCCCATGTCGAACCGGAACTGCGACAGGTCGAGCATGGACGAGCCCCTCGCCTCGGAGCGCTGGCGGACGAACGCCTCTGGGCGCAGAGGAGGAGCGAGGGAGGCGGAAGGGAAGAGGAACAGCAGCAGCAGCAGCAGCAGCAGCAGCAGCAGCAGGGGCGATGGAAGTCGTGGAGAGAGAGGGGGGGGGCGAGAGAGAGAGAGAGAGGGGCAGGAGCAGCAGCAGCAGGAGCGATGGAAGTAGTGGAGAGAGAGGGGGGGGGGCGAGAGGGAGAGGGGCTCTACAGGAAGGGAGGGTCAGGCGCGCGCGCGCGGTGTGTCTGCGTCTGAGGGGGCGCTGCAGGGCAGCGAGAGCGCGTCGTCGAGATGAGAAGGAGGCGTGGGACGATATGAGAAGGAATGGAAATAGAAAGAGGAGAGGGCTTCGCGGCATACCAATGATCAGTGCTGCCAGCGAGCGTGGGCCCCAAACAGGGGCTCTATCTGCAGGGTGCCATACAGTCTGCGAGCTCTGTCTGAGCAGGTCCTTCGCAGCCGCTTTCCAGCGTCCTGGCGAGCGTCTCCCGCTGGAATGTTCTGATGCTTGCTAGCTCCCTAAGCATGCGTTCGAGCGTCCTTGCAAGCGTCTCACACAGGCGTTCTAAGCGCTTTGGACTGCGTCGCTACCCGTCGCTATCGCGATCCAGACGGAAACACATCCGTCACGAATATGAGACCCTCCGCCGGCCAAAGCACCTCGAGCATCCAAGGGTACCGACCCTCCCCAGGATGCACAAGAGCATCCATTCAACACGAAGAGCATCAGGGTACCCTCTCCGAACCGACCTCGATCTTAGACCTCGGTCCGACTGTATACGAAGTGCAATAGGGCATGTCCGGCAGAGGCTGGGAGTGGTGGTGGTACGGGGGGCGTGGGCGGAGTGGGGGGGGCCGCTCCCGTAGCGGCGTGCACATGAGCGGCCATGGGCACGAGGCGGAGGAGGAGGAGGAGGGGGAGGAGGAGGAGGAGGTGAGGGAGGAGGAGAGGAGGAGGAGGAGGGAGGAGGGATGATAGGAGCCTTTTGTAGGGAGGAGAAAAGTAGGAGGAGAGTAGGAGGGAGGAGGAGGAGGGAGGAGGAGGGATGAAGGCGAGGAGTAGGAGGAGTATGAGGAGGAGGAGGCGGAGAGGAGGAGGAGGAGGAGGAGGAGGACGGAGGAGTATGAGGGGGCGTAGAGGAGGAGAGAGGGGCAGGAGGACTGATTCTGATGAGGTCGGAGGAGTATGATGTGTTGATGGGAGGAGTAGTCAGGATGATGATGTGCGTATGATGAGGAGGTTGAGGAGCCTCTTGGAGCCTTCTTGGGGCCCCAGCGTCGCACGTGCCAGTCCAGGGTTGCGATCGGAGCTGGGCCGTGGAGGCCCGTGCGGCCCCTCGGGCGCAGCCGTCTCGCCCGCAGGCACCAGGAGGGCACCAGGAAGCATCCCGAATCACCGCAAGAAGCCTCCCCAAGAGGCCTCTGACCAACAACCCAGGCACGCTGGCGGGATGGGCCGAGCGACCGCTTGTCTTTCGTTCTCTCTCTCTCTCTCTCTTTCTCTCCCGTTCGCTCTTTCTTCCTTTTTGTTGTTCTCTCTCTCTCTCTCTATTTCTCTCTCTCTCTCTCTCGCTCTCCATCTTGTTTTCTGTTTCTCCTCCCCCTCTCTCTCTCTGGAGCAGTTCGCAGGTCGGCCACACGCCAGAGCGACCCTGGGCACGAGTGACCTCTGGTCCGCGGCTTTCAGACAGTGGGGGGCCGCGGGGCGCCCAAACGCGAGCGCGCGCGAGACGCCACCAACTCGCGCCGCGCTCGCGGCGACCGCGGGGGGGGGGGGCCCCAGTGGGCCCACCCCCCGCACCAAGGGGGCACTCCGGCGAAGGGCCGCCCTTGCGTGCAGTCGCGCAGGCACGTGGCCCCCTGGGCCGGCCCCGCCTCCCTCCTCCCTCCTCGCGTGCGCCCTCCCGTGAAGCGAGTGAAGGCGACGTCGGCCAGGGGGGGCGCGGTAGAATTGGGAACACGAGGGACCTCAGCAAGCGCCGGCCCCTCGCCCCGGAGAGCTCGGCCGCGGGCTCACAAGAAACCCAGCGGCCGCCCAGACGGCCCAAGAGGGCCCTGAGTGGCCGAAGCATCGCTCCAAGACGCCCAATCTGTTCCTCAGCCGGGAGGGCCCAAAACACCAGGGACGAGGGGGCCTTTCCAGCAGATGCGCCAGACCAAGCCGCCCAGAGGTACGACCCCTCGTGCAAAGACGGGGACCTGAGTGAGGCCACGTCTTCACTCTGTTAGTAGGGTGAGGGGGCTTTCTTTTCCTGGCTGACGCGGAGGCCGCGCAGGCGGCCATTTACACAACCACGCCGCCCAGCGCCGCGGGGCTCTGGCGGGGAGGTGCCCCAGCCCCCGAGGGCGATCCAGCCGTCTGCGAGGCACTCGAGGACGCCGCCCAGCCAGCTCGCAGGAGCGACCTGGCAAGAGCGACCTCTGGTGCGCGGCTTTCAATGGGGGCCGCGGGGGGCCCAGACACGAGCGCGCCACACGCTACCAACTCGCGTCGCGTTCGGCGATCGGGGGACCCTGGTCGACCCGGACGAGGAGGCAGCTGCCCCACCGGGCGCCCGACACGGCAACGGGCGCAGCTCGAGGTGGTTCAGAGGAAAGAGAACTGTGCACACACACACACACACCGATTCTGGCCATGCCCAACCCCGAGCCCAGGATCGGTGCATATACGCCCTCTGACCCTGGCCAGGAAGGTATATGCACCGACCTTGGGTCAAGGATGGGCGTTGTCAGGGATCGGTGCATGTGCATAGTTCTCTTCGCCCGATGGCTGGACTGGGAGCAGCGAGTGCACACCGGCCAGTTGCGGTCAGGAACTTTAGCTCGGCATGCCGCGGCGGCGACCACTGCGAGGTGCTGCGCCTTGCAAGCTGGTGCCGTGTCGCTCTGGTTCGCGAGACGGGAGGACGGGAGAGGCTCGGGGCGATGTCGCTGAACAATCGAACCTGGCCGTGCACACGCGTGTCGCGCCGAAGCGTGGTGGGCCAAAACTAGGGAGCGACACGCTAAGCAATCGTACCTGACCTTGCACATGCTATTTTGCCACTGGTGAATTGAAGCCTGTGTTCCGCCTGCGGCCCACACACACCGCGGCGCATCTACTGGAACGTGATGCGAAATGTGCCCGCCAGAACGAATTTTATATTCCCAGAGTATAGCGATCCCTGCCTGCAAGAAGACATAGGCACTCCCTCGCAAGTGTGGCCCTCAGCTACAAACGACATATGGTGGGAGCGGGGGATGATGATGATGCTGCTGCTGATGATGATACTGGGGAGACAGAGGACCACGATGAACCCAAGGTGCATCCACGATGCTGCATCCCCCGTGTCCCACGTCCCAGATCCCCTGCTTGTCCGTAGCTGCAGGTATAATATGTTCCACTGCGTTGCGCGCCACCCCTGCAAGACAAGCGCCCCGATGGGCCCTCGAGTCAGGTCGGAGCTCCGTTTCGACAGCATGCCTCCTCCTCCTCCTCCTCCTCCTCCTCCCCTCCTCCTCCTCCTCCTCCTCCTCCCCTCCCTCCTCCCTCCTCCCCTCCTCCTCCTTCCACCTCCTCCTCCTCCTCCTCCTCCTTCTCCTCCTCCTCCTCCTCCTCCTCCTCTCCCCTCATCCTCCTCCTCCTCCTCCTCCTCCTCCCCTCCTCCCTCTCTCCCTCCTGCCTCCTCCTCCGCCTCCTCCTCCTCCAATCCTCCTTCTTTGCCTCCTCCTCCTCCTCCTCCTCCTCCTCCTCCTCCCCTCGCTCCCCTCCTCCTCCTTCTCCTCCCCTCCCCCCCTCCCCCTCCTCCTCCTCCTCTCCACCTCCTCCTCCTTTCTCCTCCCCTCCTCCTCACCACCCCCTCCCCTCCTCCACTCCCCCCCCCAAACCCCCTCATCTCCCCCTCCTCCACCTCCCCATCCTCCTCCTCCTCCTCCTCCTCCTCCTCCTCCTCCTCCTCCCGCCCCCTTTCATACCTCAGGCTGTAAGGAATGCGGCAAGGTGGTACCAAACAGCTCAGAGATAGGCCCCGCGACCGCCCCGCTTTGAAGGAGAGCCGCGGCCATTATTTCTGCACAGTGCAGAGACTGTTGAGAGTGGCATCAAACGACGCCTCACTGAAGAACCCTATTATTGACAAATGCCACCCTCCGGCCATGCTGCTGTTGCACAACTTAGTACCAGCGTAAGCGTTGCACAAGTTCAGGACTGGTGAGGAAGTCGCAGTCGAGATCCCACTTTGGAAAATGGGTGATGCTTCTTTGAGACAACTGTGCGCGGCGCCGCAGACGGATCCCCAGTTCGACAACGACTCGCCCTCCTTCAGTGTAGCTCATGATTGGTGTATGACAACTGTGCGCGGCGCCAAGGCGAAAACGAACCGCCAGCCATGGGCGTTGGACTATGTTAGACGACTGCGCGTGGCGCCGAAGAGAGAATCCGACTTTGAAAACGGCCCGACCTTTATCCGTCTATATGTCGGGAAATGTGCGCTTCAATATCGCAAACAGTGAGGAAGCTTTACGCGAAACGCCTGGCCTGCCCTGGCAACACGCTTGGTGGTGCGACAGGGAGGAATTAGTCATAAGTGATGGCGTGAAAGGACGGGGAAGGAGAGGGACGAGGACGAAGGCTGGTGGGATAGGCTCAGAAAGGGCAAGTGGCAAAGAGCGGACGGAAGGCGGAAGTGGTGGCGTGGAACGAAAGGAGGTTGGCGGGTAGAGGAGGGGATTAACGAAATGCAACGGGCGGAAAGAACAACTGATGCACAGGAGCAAGGGGTAGCAGGCTGGGCAAAGAAAACACTCCAGCCTCAGGAACCAGATCCATGACATCCGAGACGTTGCTGTTCGCCTCTGGCAGAGAGAGGAGCAACGACGCATCACTCAGCAGACCAAACAGGAGCGGAGGAGGACAATGAAGAGATGAGGAGGAGGAGGAGGAGGAGGAGGAGGAGGAGGAGGAGGAGGAGGAGGAGGAGGAGGAGGAGGACAACGACGAGGAGTATCTTCGGGTCCTGAGCGAAGGACGGGGAGGACGACGCGCAATCCTGCGAGAAACTCAGTGCGACAGACAGCAGCTGCAGCATCCACCTGAAGACGACTGCGGCGCCGCCGTTCTCGCAACAACAGCTTTACGCCGTGACGCCTGCGGAAAACTGCTGCGTGCAAAAGTGCGCTTTTCAATGCACGCCCGGGCCCCGATGAAATCCCACCAGCCCTTTGGGCGTGAGTGGTTTAGCGAGCTCTCTCTGTCCTCAACCCCCCTTCTTCCCCTTCGGGGAGGGGTTTACCCCTCCCCCTACCCCCTCCCCCTGGGCCTGGACAGGGATTCCGGGGTGTGCTCAGGGGGGGTCTTTTTCGACTCCTGGGATGCCAGAAAACGACGACCCTCACGAGGATTCTGGCCCCGGGGGGGGGGGGACGGAGTTTGGCGCTTCAGCTCGTCTTTGAAGCAGAAATCATTGATTTTACGAGGGTTTGGGCCCCATTTTGGCCTTCTGAGGGGGCCGCGCTCATCTTCCCTCATACCAAAATCATTGATTTTACGAAGGTTTTAGGCTCATTTTGTCCTTCTCAGGGGGCAGCTCTCCTTTGCGCTTCTGCGGAGGTCGCAGGAGGCCCCAAGATGGCCCCAAGAGGCCCCCAGGAGGCTCCCAAGAGGCCTCCAAGAGGCCCCCCAGAGGCTCCCAAGCGGCCCCAAGAGGCCCCCAAGAGGCCCCCAAGAGGCCCCCAAGAGGCCCCACGAGGCCCCAAGAGGCCCCCAAGAGGCCCCCAAGAGGCCCCCAAGAGGCCCCACGAGGCCCCAAGAGGCCCCCAAGAGCCCCCAAAGGCCCCCAAGAGGCCCCCAAGAGGCCCCACGAGGCTCCCAAGAGGCCCCCAAGAGGCCCCACGAGGAGCCCGAACGACTCACACAGGACGAGGGGCCCGAACGACTCACACCACGAAGAGCCCGAACGACTCACACCACAAGGAGGGGCCCGAACGACTCACACCAGGACGAGGCGCCCGAACGACTCACACCACGAGGAGCCCGAAGGACTCACAACACGACGCGGGCCCCGAACGACTCACACCACGAGGAGCCCGAACGAGTCACACCAGGAGGAGCGCCCGAACGACTCACACCAGGATGAGGGGCCCGAACAACTCACACCACGAGAAGCCCGAACGACTCACACCAGGACGAAGAGCCCGAACGACTCACACCACGAAGAGCCCGAACGACTCACACCAGGAAGAAGGGCCCGAACGACTCACACCAGGACGAGAAACCCCAAACGACTCAAATCACGAGGAGCGCTTTCTCTCCCTCCTCCTCCGCCTCGTCCTTCTCCCGCTCCCCTCACAAGGAGGATGTACAAGGAGGCGGGAGGAAGGAGGAACAGGGGAGATATGCGGGCCAAGCGGACACACGCCTGAAATTATCCCGGCAAAGCAACCTAACAGCGATGTGTAGGAGCATATCTGGAAGCATTCCCCTTAAGATTCAGATGAGAATTCAGTTGTAGAATTCTGCTGTTCTCGCAGTCGTAGTCGCATTCGCGATGACAGTCGCAGTGGCAACGGCAGTCGCACACAGCCTCAGCCTCAGCCTGCCTCAGCCTCAGCCTCAGCCTGCCTCAGCCTCAGCCTGCCTCAGCCTCAGCCTCAGCCTGCTTCAGCCTCAGCCTCAGTCTGCCTTCAGCCTCGGTGTCAGCCTCAGCTGCCTCAGCCTCAGCCTGCATCAGCCTCAGCCTCAGCCTCAGCCTGCCTCAGCATCAGCCTGCCTCAGCCTCAGCCTCAGCCTGCCTCAGCCTCAGCCTCAGCCTGCTTCAGCCTCAGCCTCAGTCTGCCTTCAGCCTCGGCCTCAGCCTCAGCCTGCCTCAGCCTCAGCCTGCCTCAGGCCGCAGCAGCCTCAGCCTCAGCCTCAGCATTCAAAATGTGGCCCGGGAATGGAGTTCTGGGAACTCGAAGAACACGAAGTGGCCTACAGTTGGCTCCGGGCATTCAAAAACATGCCCAGGAATGGAGTTCTGGGAACTCGAAGACCACGAAATGGCCTACAGTTGGCTCCGGGCATCCAAAATGTGGCCCGGGAATGGAGTTCTGGGAACTCGAAGACCACGAAGTGGCCTACAGTTGGCTCCGGGCATCCAAAATGTGGCCCGGGAATGGAATTCTGGGAACTCGAAGAGCACGAAGTGTGTGACTGTTGCATCCGGCCCTCCAGAATGTGGCCCGGGAATGGAGTTCTGGGATCTCGAAGAGCACGAAGTGTGTGACTGTTGCATCTGGTTATTCTAAATGTGGCCCGGGAATGGCGTTCTGGGATCTCGAAGAACACGAAGTGTGTGACTGTTGCATCCGGGTATTCAGAATGTGGCCTGGGAATGGAGTTCTGGGAAGTCGAAGAGCACGAAGTGTGTGACTGTTGGTGAAAAACGAGCCCGGCACCCTGCCGCCCGGCAACTCCCCAACACCTGCCCGGACCCCCCTGTGGAGTGATCTGTGAGCTCTTTTGAGTCAACTAGAAACCTATCAGTCTTCGCTGTTAGGTAAAACACGACTGTCGGCATGCTTCGCGAGAGTTGCTGCTGTGAGATGGGCTGGTGGGGATACGCGAAGCGTAAAGAATTCTCGTTCGGAGCCGTCCTCTCGTGTGTGTGTGTGTGTGCGTGTCGGCGTCGCCGTGCATGGCCGGACGCAACAGCCACGGGGAGTGCTGACCCGCCACCTGAACGATACAGGCACACACGCGCGGCCGAGCCCATAATTCGGAACGGGGGCGGGGGCACACACTCTGGATGCACGTGCGGAGGGCAGGCGTGCCCGCCCACGCATCGCCCAATGCTGGAGAGACATGTTGCCACGTGTGTGTGTGTGTGTGTCCAAATCTCATGCCCGGCTGGCCACGTCGAATGTATTGTGTGCGCTTTCCCTCCCTCTCCTCCTCGCTCCTGCAGGGCCTGCCGCGCGCTGTCTTGCCCACCGGCACACAGCGGGCGGCACCCTGGCAAAGCCGCGGCGGGTCTCTCGTCAGCGCACGCCCTCGCCCGCAGGCCACGGCCCTCACCCTTGGGGGGCAACGATAGGGGAGGAATGGCATGTGGGGGGATGCATCGACCTGGAATCGGCGATACATCGCCGAGAGATCGGCGATAGGCCCCCGATGGCAAATCCGCACCTTCCTGTGCAGGATGGGGCTATCGGGCCCCTATCGGCGATGAATGGGCGCTTAGGGGTCGATGCGCCGCCCCCTGTGCCTATGCCCCCCCCCCCTATCCTTGCCCCTGACCGCGCCAAGTGGGGAGAACATCCTGGGACACAGAGCGTGGCGACTGGAGCCGAAGGCCGAGGAGGTTTGAGCAGGGACCGACCGTCCCGGCATTCCTATAGTCCTACCACGATATGTTCTTAGAACCCACAAATGTTCTAAGAACAGAAACACAATCCTTAGAACATTGACCCGATGTGTTAAACCAAGACAGACTCAGCCATAAATGCTCTAAGAACATTCCGTGCAGACCACAAAAGGCTCTTAGCACATTGTTTGGTGGGACTGCATGCGAGCCGGGACGCTTCGCCACTGCGAGGAGGTGGCCGCCGCGGCTGCTCGGGCCGCGGCCCTCGAGCCATCCTCGACCCTGGAGCCATCTCCTCCTCTCCATGCTCCCCCTCCCCCCTCCCCCTCCTCCTCCTCCTGCTCCTCCTCCTCCTCCTCCTCCTCCTCCTCCTCCTCCTCCTCCTCCTGCTCCTCCTCCTCCTCCTCCTCCTCCTCCTCTCCTCCTCCTCCTCCCCCTCCCCCCTCTCCTCCTCCTCCTCCTCCTCCTCCTCCTCCTCCTCCTCCTCCTCCTGCTCCAGCATCAACGGCTCGCTGGCACCGCCGGCCGCCCCGGCGCGTGGCCGAGCGGCATATGACACGGGCGCTGCCCGGCCGGGGTTCCCTGTGCGCAGCCGCCACGGCAGACCTCCCGCCCCCATCCACCCCGGATGGCTCCCCGAGGAGGGCGACCGGGCTCCGGGGGCTCTCCATCGGGCGCGGCCAAGAGGGGGGTGTCCAAGAGGGGGGTGTGCATGGGTCCTGGGCGGGGTCGCCTCCTCCTCCTCCTCCTCCTCCTCCTCCTCCTCCTCCTCCTCCATATCCGACCCGACCCGGCCCGGCCCGGCCCAGCCCGTCGGGAGCGACGAAGAGGGGGGTGTCCAAGAGGGGGGGGTGCAAATCATGACCGGCGGCATGTGCGCGGCCCAGCGGGGGGGGACCAGGGACGTAGTGAAATAAGAAGAGGCGCAATGACATCTGGGGAAATCCGCCGATCCGGCGTGTGAGTTTCTGAGAGCGTGGACTTGAGCTCGCTCAAGCTTCGCTCTGCAGGGGGGGCACGTTATTTCCGACGTCATTTCCGACGTCATTTCCCACGTTTTTCGGTACACGGGGCTATTTCCAAAGTAATTTCCAACGTTTTTCGGTACCCAGGGACAGGGGGGTATGGAAAACTCCACTTCCGGAGCCCCGACCGCCCAAGACAGCCCACGAGGAAGCCAAGAGAGGCCCCAGAGGCCCCCTAGACAATGCAAGAGGGCCCCCCCCGGATCGGCGGCACTGGCCGGAGGCCAGCCCAATATCATGGCCCACGCCATGATATCCACCCCCCCCAGTCAGCACCCCCCTCTTTGCCGCCCCCGACGCCAGAGCTCCGTGGGTGCCCGCTTCCTGCCGGCAGCTTGCCCTGGTGGTCCTCTCTCTCTCTCGTCGCGCCCGTCTTCCAAGTCCACTTCCACCTCATCGTCCTTCTCCTCGTCTTTTCCTGGTCGTCCTCCTCGTCGTCCTTCTCATCCTCCATCCTCCTCTCTCATTCCTCCTCCTCCTCCTCCTCCTGCCCCTCCTCTTCCTCCGCCTCCTCCTCCTCTCCGACTTTCACCTCCGCCTCCTCGCCTTCCACATTACCATCCTTATCGTTGTTCCTGAATGTCCCTCCTCGTTATTATTATTTATTGTCATCGTCCTTCTCCCTCGTCGTTTCTCGTCCTCCTCCGCCTCCTCCTCCTCCTCTTTCTCGTGCTCCTCCTCTCCCGCGTCCCTCATCTTCATCATCCTCCACCCTCCAACTTTTCTGCTGTTCCTCTTCTGCTCCCACCGTCCTGCATCCCCCGTACAATTCCTCATACTTCTACTCCACGTCGACTCCCTCCTCCTCAGCCTGCTCCCCGTGTCTTTCTCCTCACACTCGCACCCTCCTTCAATCCCACCAGCCCTCTGGGCGTAGGTGGCTTATCTCTCCTTCCCCTTCTCGGGAGAGGGGTTTACCCTCTCGACCCCCTTCCCTGGACCTGGGACGGGGGGGCGCGATCAGTTAGAGCGCCCAAGATCGCCCAAGAAAGCCCCAGGATGGCGTCAGAGACCACAAAATACCTCAAGATAGCCTCCAAGATGGCTCAAAATAACTCAAGATGGCTCAAGATAGCTGCCAGCGCCTATTCAAAACGCCTCACTACGGCTCCGAGATGGTTTCAAGTGCACCCCGAGACATCCAAGGACCCCCCCAAGAGGCCAAAATGGTTCCAAAACTGTATGAGTTGTGTCTTCTCGCCTTATCGCTTCCGATGGGCCTCCCCCAAGATGGCCCAAGTGAGACCCAAGAGGGACCCAAGAGGGCTCCAAAACGGCCCCAAGAGCGCTCCAAGAACGGTTCCACAGGGCCTCAAGACGACATGTTTGAGCCACCAAGGGGGAAGACCTGAATATGTGACCCCTCTCTTTTAGAGCCTCGGGAGCCAAGACGGCCCCAAGAGGCCTTCCAGATCCCCCAAAGAGCCTCAAGATGGCCCCTAGATCCGCCGTAAGAGTCCCAAGAGGGCCCCAAGAATGCCCCAAGTGGTTCCGCGAAGACCCCAAGATAGACCCAAGATGGCTCCAAGAGACCTCCGAGAAAACACCTCAAAGGCGGTTGTGCTGCTCCTAAGACGACAGCAAGACGAGGATACACTCGGGTGAGGATGAGTCGGGAATCTCTGAGATCTGGCAGCTCTGGAGAACGTCTCGGGCGCCGCGGCCTTCTCAGAGTGCTCCGGAACGCTCTGAGGGCGTTCCAGAACGCTCTGGAACGGACTTATCATCGTCCTAGCCCCGCCTGATTAGGCATAAAAGGACCCCTCCCTCTGGGAGCTGACCTAATGCAGGAGGGCCAGGAACAGTAGGGATAGGGGGTCTTTTCTTCAGATGTATCGAACCAAGCCGCCCACATTCATTTGCCCTAGTGCGAAAAAGGAAAAACCTGTGGGGCCACGTCTTCCTCGTATCATTCGGGTTAGGGGCCATTCTGTCCTCGATGACCGCCCGATCACGCGCTGCTGCTGCTCCTTCCTGGCCGAGCCCGCCCCGCGACCCGGGGGCCTTGGGCCGCCCCATGGAGCCGGAACTGCTCAGGGCGCTGAGCGCCGAGGCCGTGCGCCTGCGCTCCTCGGGCCCATTGTCCATGAGCTCCTCTGCGGCTCGCCGGTGTGCTGCCAGACGCTGCTCGTCGACGTCGCCGCCGCCGCCGCCGCCGCCGCCGTCGTCGTCGTCGTCGTCGTCGTCGTCGTCGTCGTCGTCGTCGTCGTCGTCGTCGTCGTTGTCGCGGCTGCTTCTTGCCCAGCCCCCCTGTGAGTAGGGTCCTCCTTTTGAAGCCGCAGCGCCGCGCGTCTCCTCTTTCTCCCCGCCTGCCCCTTCCCTCCTCCTCCATCCCTCCCTCCTCCTCCTCCCTCCTTCATCCTCCTCCCTCCTCCCCGTCCTCCTCCTCCTCCTCCTCCTCCTCCTCCTCCTCCTCATGTGCTTCCCAACCCTCATCATCCCCATCTCCTCATCACCGCTTCGGCACACCACTCATACGTTTCACCGCTCATAGGGAGTTCTACCGAAGGCCCCAGTGGCTGCGTTCGCATGGCGGCCCTGCCCCATGTCGGCACACCCCTCACACGTTTCGTGGCCCCACACGGAGCGCCACCAAATGTCCTGGTGGCTCCGTTTGCATGGCGGCCCGCCCCGTTTTAGCACCCTCACAAGATTCACTGTCTCATAAGGAGCTCCAGCGAGGGCCCAGTGGCTGCGTTCGCATGGCGGCCCCGCCCCATTTCGGCACACCCCTGACACGTTTCGTAAGCACCAAATGCTTGGTTCTTCGCCAAGCCAGGTGTTCTGGTATGAAGGCCGGAAGGTGAAATTCACCAGCTTCCCCTGCCTCGCAGATCGTGACAAGAAACGACCGGGCCGAAGTCTCGCGGCATTTGCTTGCTCTGGCCGCGCGCGCCCCAATTTGACGTCACGCGAAGAGAAGGAGCAACTGGGGCACATTGGCAAATCCGCTGGCGGCCTCGCAATTCGAGGAGGGTCTCAGACGCTTTCCCGTTGATGGCTAACCGACTTGTGCTGTCCCTCGGCTCACGCTGGCGCTTCCACGAGTTCTCCAGAATTATCTGGAGATATTTGGAATTGCCTTAGATTTAGTTGGATCTGATCTGATTTGTCTGGCTTGATCCCCAAAGGCCGATTGGCGAGAAGCCGCCGAGCCACCTGGGATTTTCGGATCGTTTCCAGCAACCTCTCAAGTTCTTCTGGCTTCCGGGGGTCTCTGGGAGGCCCCCGGGGTCGTCCTAGGCGGCGATGAGTGGCGGGGCGATACAAAGGGGAGACATCGCGTACTGCCGAAAAGGGTCCTGCTTCTTGACTTGTCGCTCCTCCTCGTTTTTGTCCCTGCTTGCGTGGCCACACTACCAAGTACGCTTCACACCATTCCGCAAGCGCTCTTGCAAAAGAGGATGAACGGGAGCGGCCGAGCAACACGCGCACGGCACCCTTCCCCCTCCTTCTCCTTCGCCTCCTCCTGCTCCCCCTCCTCCTCCCCTTCCTCCTCCTTCCAGCTCTGCGCTTCCGTTGGGTCGGTCGAGATCAGGCTGCGCGGACCTCCTCATCCTCCTCTTCCTCGCGCATGGCTTCATCTGAGAATCTCAAGCATTTGTCCACGAGTAAGCGTTCTCGGCTGCGTTGCAGAATGCGTATTCCCGACACGAGGGTGACTCCTCTGTGCTGCATGCACTGCGCGCTGGACAGCGACGACAGAAATGGCTCGCAAATGACAGACCGAGGGGAGGAAAATGGTGCGGAGCTTCATCCAAGCGCCGCGACTGCATTTCGAAACAGCCGACATGAACGTTCAGCAACTAGGCTGGGTGAAGCGGGTTCCGCGCGGCAGCCGGTGGGCCGAAAGGCTTTTCTGGCGAGCCAGAAACCGCAGCTGGGGCGACCAACGATAGCAGAGGAGACGCCAGCTGCAGATCCGAGTGCAGCAATGCGAGCACGGACGCTGACCCACCATATTGCTGAATTGGACGTTCCCGGGCTTTCGCACGCAGAGGCGGCCCCGCAAGCGCTACACGGATTAATCTTGTTGTCGTTCGAACCAGCGAGCCCAACCACCCTAGAAGTGCACAGGCGCGGGACTACCCGCAACGCTGCATCCCGTCCTGTCCTGTCCTGTCCTGTCTTGCCCTTGTCAATCAATTCAACAGACGGGTTTCTTCGAGACGTCAACTGGAGAATACAGATCCTGCAGATCGAGCGTGGCTTGTCACAGGGAGGACACGGAGCCAGACAGATGGTCGAGACCGTCCATTCCGCACGGGTGCTCTGAGTGAGAGACGGAACCGACTCCCCTTCGCCCCGAAGGGCTGAAATGAGGAAGACGCAGCCAAGTGGCGCGGCGACAGACGGTGCGATATGCGCAGTGCGCCCTGGCTGGAGCAGAACCTGCAAGAACAAATTGCGAAACCGATGCGAATCTGACCGAAGGGCCGTGCAACTTTGCTACAATCTACCACCCGCTAAATGTAACCCTTGGACCAAATGCCTGACACTGTATTCGGCATTCGTGGATGCATGCTTACGTCTGCTTGGTACTCCTCCTGGTGCTCCTTCAGGGTCAGCCGGATCCTTCGGTTTCACATGCACTCGGCTACAAGCTCCTCGCAACAAGCTCAAGGACCCGACGCTTTCTTGACTGAATTGTTAAAACTCTACGTGTCGATTGTGACAACTCCCGCTGAATCACGTCAACGAAAAGAACGATCATAAAGAACGACGCCCATCATACGGGTACTCGGCTTGACCGTTGTGATAATCACGAGAACTATGATAATGAACAACGCCTTGAATGTCAATAGCGACGGTGGTGAAGAGATGGGTAAACCCGAATCTAAAGCAGAGATGCACATCCTCTTCGTTCGGTGTTCCATACCAAGAATACTGCAGCATGTGTATATATTGTGTGGGCGGCATGGTAAGTATGCAAACGTGTGTATATATATAAGTGTATATATATACATTTATACATACATCATATATATAGTATATATTCAGGTGTATATATATATATATAGATGCAGCTCGCGGCGTCGTCCTGGCCAACTGCTTTGGGACAAGGAGGGGCAGGCGGATGAGAGAACGGACGCGGGCCACTGCGACAGCAGGAGCGGTCCTGAGACGCCCCCTAGACCCAGACAGGCAATGCAAAGTAGGCTTTGGGATGGCATCGGGAAAACTTTGAGCAAAATACCGTCGGATGGCAAGTGCTTTAAGAGAAAAGTGCTGACATCCGAGTGCGTCCGTATCTCCGACGACGCTAAGCATCAAGTTGTAAAAACACCCAGCTCGCGGCGCGTCGTCCTGGCCAACTGTTTCGGGGCAAAGAGGGCCAAGCGGATGAGATAACGGATGCGGGCCACTGCGCCGGCACGGGCGGTCCTGAGGCGTCCCCGACCCGACCCCGAAGGTACCTTTGGCCGAAGGCCGCATTATAACATCCTCAGAGCGAGTGTCTGGAGGGACCGAGCAGGCTGGATGGACAGAGACTGGACAATGCACGCAGCAGCAGCGGCGGCGAGGCGAGGGGGGTACTGAGCGGCGACGGCGGTCCGCTTCTGTCCCTTCTCGTCGTTCTCTTCAAGAATGAAAATGCCGGTTGCCAGATCTGCCACAACGACCTCGGCGCCCCAAGCATTTTTTTTTCCGAGCGGCAGCGTAGCGACGGCACCCCGAGAACAGACAGTGGTTGCCTCTCTGTAGGGCGCGCCGCACTGGCACTGATGCCGCGCAGACTTGCGGCAGAAGGGCGACTTGCAGAGACGAGCTAGCGCAGGGCCAGACCACGGCAGCGAGGTCTGAGGATTCTCAGGAAATGCTGGGATACGGGCGGCCACGCACGCACGCATCAATCAGACTGTGAATCTGTGGGCGGCACTGCCGGCATCAATTTCGGCCCGTTCAGGGGGGCTTACATCTGGGAGGCCCATTGGGTGGAGTGCGGAGCGGAGCGGTCGTCCGAGCGCTCGCGTCCAGCTCGCGCGCGGCGCGCCGAGCCAGATATCGCCCGCCGCCCGAGAGGCGACCCAGCGGAAAACAAAGGACTGGAATGCTGCCGTGGTGCGGTCCTCCAGCGGGCTGCGGTTCCAGTCGAGCCCGAAGCCAACGTCGCCCCGCGCGTGCCTCGCGCGGGCGATCGCGACAGCTACGCAGAACAGCTCGAGCACGGGGCGCCGGCGAAGTCGACGCCCAGGAGCAGCCGCCCGCTGGCGCTGTCTCCAGGTGATGCCGGATGGCACCAGGCTTGCCCGAGGCCGTCACAGCGCCGCCGCGGGGCGCCTGCGTGCCTGACGGGGGGCGTCGGCCGGCGCCCTGAGCAGGACGGCGACCGCGGCCGGCACGCGGCCAGTCGTCGGCAGCGCGGGGAGGGAGCTTTCGATGAGCTCGACCTGCAGGTGAGCCTCGACGAACGCACCGAGCTCCATGACGGCTGGTGGGATCCAGACGAGCTCGCCCAGCAGCTTCGTCTCCGTGGTGTAGCGATTGAGGCTCTTGGCAGACCGCCATCGACCGCGGCGCTGGATCCCTGGGAGCGCTCTCCTCTGCGACGGCATGTCGTCCGAGGCTCCACCGCGCCGCCGCGCCGAGGCTCTCGTCGTTCACGCCCGTCTTCCCGGGCCCCGGGCCGCTCTCGTGCAGGATCAGGCCGTAACTCTGGTAAGGCGCCCCCGCGGCGGCGGCGGGAGGCCCCGGGCGGCGCCCGCACGGCCTCGCCGCCTCGCCCGGCCTGAGGTTGCAGGCAAAGATGTCGCGAGGATGCAGATGGCGAGCCGGCGGTGCCCGTCGGTGCGTGCTGCCTCACTCCGCTGGACCCGCCACCAGCCTTCGAAAGTAGCGACGGTTTCGCAAATCGCAACCCCCCAAGGACGGCGAGGTCCCGCTCAGATCTGCGTGGTGCCTCATTCCGCTGGACCCGCCAGCGGCCTGGAAACTGGCGACGGTTTCGCAGATCGCGGCCCAACATGGACGGCGAGGCCTCGCTCAGATCTGCGCGGTGCCTCAATCCGCTGAACACCAGCAGCTCTCGAACGTGGTGACAGTTTCGCAGATCGCTATGCTGGTCCCCCAAGCAGCCCTCGAGAGTGGCGACC